ACATGCCAAGGACACATGGAACCAGCTCAGGCCAGGCTTCCCCGGGGTATGCTGGCTTATCCTTTTCTTTGGTATGGATTCTACTTGCGCTATGATTGGAAGACCCTCTTTCCTTTGACTATCTCAGGCTGCCACTCTTTAAAGACATGGAAGAGACGAGAAGACTGTGGGGGTGGCAGCCGAAGAAATAAGAGCTTGGACCCCGTCCTGGAGGAAGCACTTGGTCTGAAGATTTGCGGGGGCCAAAGGCTGTTCTCAGTTTTATAGTCGGCACACCTTGGACTGGCATCTGGACCAGCAACACCACCGCACCAAATGAATTCTCTGTGGCTTATGTTTTTAGGTCCATGGATTGCTGTGTGGGGTCCACAGGGGATGTGTTTAGAAGCAGGAACAGAGGAGGTGGAAGCCAGTATTTGGGAACTCGAGTCAGCCAGACCCAAGTGCAATGAACCAGTGTTTCTGTGAAACATATTCTACAGAATTAGCCTAACTAGATGTTGCATGAAAAAGGCGATCTAAGATGCGGGGTGAGAAATTAAGTGAGTTTCTTCATTGCACAATGTGAACTTTGAAGAGTAAGGCAGAATGCAGTGTTGTTTCCCCAAAGTATTTCAATGTGGAACCCCTTTATTGGGGAGCTCCTGAACTAGGGTACCTCAGAAGACACCTTGGGAAATGCTAGGTTTTGACAGTTGGAGTGTATTTGTGGGAGGAATGAGTAAGACGGAGTCACTGCTGATGAGTTCTACCAAACAATCCCTTCCCTTTCACTTGTGGGTAGAGGAGTGTGAGATGGTGGGTGTCACCGCAAGTCTAAGTGATGGCTTGAGGAAGTACTTCCCAACCCAGCTACGGTTCAGACTCAAGAAGGGGTGCTTATTAAAAAATGCAGACTCCCAGGTTCTACCCCAGACCTGCTGAATCAGTACTCCAGGGAGGGGCTGGGACTCTGTAATGAGCACCCGAGGGAGTCTCCTGATCAGCGAAGTTGGGGACCTGCTGTCCTTAAGGATACAGTGTGGTGCGTTCCCTGCAGCTTAGCAAACCTCAAAAAAACCCCACCAAACCCATAAAATAGGGGGCGTCTACAAAGGGAGACCTCTGCTGGACTCCGTGCCTGCCGGTTTTGTGACATCGATGGAGTCCTGGTAGGCAGGGGGGAGGCCAGGCGAGGATGGAGAGTGTGCAAAGGTGAGCACTGGCCTTCCAAGCCAGCTCGGGGCTGGAGAAGACTCTCTTGAGTCTTCACTCAGAGGCTGAAGCTCAGGATCTCAAACGAGGGAGGATAAACAGAAGGTCCTCGTTTGTAGTTTTCCATTGTAGCTGACATGTATTGGGCCCCTACTGTGTGCACTTGACACATATCAGCTCATAGTCTCCGACCAAGTCCTGAGGAGGGTACAATTTCCGTTCCCCTTTTGCAAAGGAGGAGGGCGAGGGCTGAGGGTTATGACCCGGGTGTTTACAGAGCCATGTGCTCCCCCCCAGCTGCAACTCCTAACCTAATGTCCCATCTCCCAGAGATCACCTGTGCTGGACCAACAGATGGTTGGCAGCGAGTAGCGCCTCCTGAGGCTTAAATGACTACAAGCTAGAGCGAGCAGCGTTGGTGGGGGAGGGGGGAGACTAATGACCTCTAAGAGGTGGAGGTGGCATGAGTCCCGCGTTCAGAACCGGAAATTGACAGACATCAACAGCCAGGGTGGCAAGGCTCCCCAACCACAGGGATGGCTCCTGTTTGTTCATTTCTTGTGTGGCAGGCACAGTGCCAGGCACGTGAGAGCACCCCATCTCCCCTTCAACTCACAGCCACCCCAAAAGTAGGTGACACCATCATTTCTGTGTTCAGAGACCAGGAGCCATGTGCTGTTACGCCCCAGGCTCTCCATGGGTCCCTGAAAGACCTCCCGCTTGAGTACTGCACACCAGGCACTGGGCAAGGGGGCCTGATGCCCACTTTCCCTCTGGAATCTGGGGCAGGGATCGTTAGCCCATCTCACAGATGAGGCTGCTGCTTGGCAGGATGCTTTCCCCAGCTCCCGTCTGTCCCCCAAACTTCACACTCTGATGGGCCCCCTAGGTTTATCTGACAAGCACAACGCTTGAGCACTCTAGGTGCTGATGTCTCACAAATCGATCTTTTTGGAGGACTGTCAGGATTCTCATTTTTCACCTGAAACAGCTTTGGAGAAATCAATAGCTGCAGATCATGTGTCTAGGTGCACTTTTCTTTAAAATTCATCCTGCTTTGGGGCACCTGGGTGGCTCAGTCGTTAAGTGTCTGCCTTCGGCTCAGGTCATGATCCCAGAGTCCTGGGATCGAGCCCCGCATTGGGCTCCCTGCTCAGCGGGAAGCCCGCTTCTCCCTCTCCCACTTCCCCTGCTTGTGTTCCCTCTCTCGCTGTCTGTCAAATAAATAAATAAAAATCTTAAAAAAACAAATTGCAAGAAAAAAAAAATAAAATTCATCCTGCTTACAATGCATTGGGCTTATCGGTGTCACTCATCAGTCTGGAATTCACAACCATCCTGTCTTAAAACATTATCTTTGCACCATTGTCTCTTCTGATTCTAGAAGGTCAACTGAATGTGTTATAGATATTCTCACTCTATCTTCCATTAACATTTTTTCTTTTTTTTTTTTTTGTTTCTGCCTCTGTGCTACTTTTTGGACCTAGCTCTAGTTCAATCAATCTTTTTTTTCACTTGTGCCTGATTTGCTGTTGAGCCCAGCCACTGAGTTTTTACTTTGGGTTCTTGTGTCCGAGGCTTTCCCCGTTCCCATCTGCTAGGCCATTACTTAGTTCTGGGCTGCCTGCAGAGATTTCCAAGCTCTTCTACACATTTGCCCTGCTTGCTGAAAGCAGAGTGATCCTGCAGAACCTTTCATAAGCCATAAGCGCAGAGTATCCCCCACTTTCCAAAAGTTTGTGTCCCGCCACTGCACCTTCACAAAAGACCTACCTTAGGTTGGTAAAGCGTCTGCCTTTAGTTCAGGTCATGATCCCAGGGTCCTGGGATCGAGTTCCACATCGTGCTCCTTGCTCAGCAAGGAGCCTGCTTCTCCCTCTGCCTGCCTCTCTCCCTGCTCGTGCTCTGTAACAAACAAAATCTTAAAAAAAAAAAAAAAAAAAAAAAAAAGACCTACCTTAGTACCTGTTATCGCTAACAGAAAGAGATCCAAAGAGGATTTTCACTTTTTTGAAAAAAGCCGTATCGTACTAAGGCAGATCTTTTGTAAAAAGCAAAGTGGTGTAATTTGAGCTTTCGGAAAGTGGGGGAGACCCGTATTCTAATCCGTGACTGGCGGGTTCACTGTCCAAAGCCCTTGTGAGTCTGCTTTTGCTCTGTTGTCTCTTCTGGTTCTTGTTCGTGGTGCTTTATTTCCACGCATGTTGGGTGACTTGACTGTGGGCTGCTCATTGTCTGGGGATTGCGGGGATTCTAGATGACAGTTCTTTACCCCGGAGGATTTATCTTTGTTCCTGCCAGACAGCTCAGCTCAGAAGTACCCTGAACACATGGATGATGCCACAAACCTGAGCTGAGGGCCAGCCTGTGTCTGCAGTCTCAGGGGCCACTTTCTTCTCTCCTTTGGTCTTGTGCCCCCCTCAGTATTTAGAACATCTCTGCAGTCTTCTGGGCCATCATCCTTACCTGAGCTTGTAGAGCTCCTATTAGATTGCCCACCTTGGTCTTGACTTCCGCCTGCTTGTCCCAATAAGACTACAAATTGGAAACCCAAGTTTGTCGCACAAGCAAATGCCCTCAGAGCAAAAGTGGCTTCAGGGTCCCATGTCCTTTCCCCTGAAATTCTTGGCGTGGTGTATCCTTTAACTGTATTATATTGGCTAGTTGATGCTTTTATGATTTTTTTACACCTCTCCCTCTTTTTCAGCAGGAGTCCAAATAATCTGGCCCCTCCCTCCAGATAAAACTGAAATCCCACAAAGCCAAGCCAAGGGTCAAACCCAGGTCTCTCTGATTCTGAAGTCTAAGTATTCAATAACTACTATGATACATCCTAGTCTCTATAGTCATTTTTTTTTAAGGTTTTATTTATTTGACAGAGAGAGGGAACACAAGCAGGGGGTGTGGGAGAGGGAGAAGCAGGCTTCCTGCTGAGCAGGGAGCCCGATGTGAGGCTCGATCCCAGGACCCTGGGATCATGACCTGAGCCCCGTCTCTGGTCATTTTTATTCCCTGATAACAATGTCAGAGACTGTGGGGGCGCCTGGGTGGCTCAGGTGGTTAAGCGTCCCACTCTTGATTTTGGCTCGGGTCATAGGATTGAGCCCTGTCTCCGGCTCCATGCTGTGTGTGGGGCCTGCTTGGGATTCTCTCTCTCCCTCTGCCCCTCTAATAAATCTTAAAAAAAAAAAGTCAGAGACTGTTAATTATCTCTCACTACCCATGCTTTCCTCTTCCTTTATACTTGAATTTTTTAAAATGACTTAATTCCCTTTTTATTTAGTAAATAATTGACTGTTTTGAAGCTTTAATTACAGGGATCTTTAGTAGTTTTTTTTGTTGGGCATATGTACCCAAGCTGAAAAACTCCATGTCCCAGTCTCCCTTGCAGCCCTTCCATATGGCTAAAGCTTGGACCAGTGAGATGTACATATAAGTATAGTGTAGTACTTCTTGGAGGAAGGAGCCTTCTCTTCCTGCAAATTGGTGATGGTCAGAGTTCTAGCAGATCCACGGCCAAAGGACAGTGAGTCAGAAGCAGCCTGGGTTCCTGATGACTTCAGAGCCACCATTATCTGCCCACTCGGGATTTCTGAAGAAATGAAAACTATCTTGTTTAAGCTACTACTATTTTGAGATTTTTGAATCCAAACCGACACAGATGAAGAGTCAAAAATAATCTCGAGCTAAGGGACTTGGCGAAGGATCCTTCTCCCAATCTTTCCCAGCTCACCATGCAGTGCTCCGTGGCTCCCTTCTCTCCCCAACCCCCCCCCTGAACAACACACAAACCAGTCTGGGCCCAGCCTTATAAATATTGATTTTATAGAAAGGACCAATTCAAAACTGGTCAGATGCCACACACCAGAAGCTTCCAGAACCACAAGGGTGAAAAAACAAAAAAAACAAAAAACCCCAAATGGAACAAACGAAAATACCCCAGACCAACCTGCTTGAAAATCAAGGTCTCTGTTGACCAAAGGATTCTAAAGAAACACATATGGCTGGGGCTAGACAGGCCCCAACGCCTGAACGATTACCCAGAGTGGAAGGAAAAACAATCCAGAAATTCAAAGCCACAGTCCCTGCCCACCGGCCCCCCACGCTGTCAAGAGCGAGGCAAAGGGCTTCACAGCTTTTTTTTTTTTTGGGGGGGGGGAGAAGTGATGGCAATAGCTTCAATAATGGGAGGAGGGGAATCTTTATACTTCAACTTTTTTTTTCTCTTCCCCTTTGGGGGAAGTGAAAAGACCGGTAGCTTTAGGTTACGGAGAAAACAGTGATTTTTATTGTTTTAATGGGGGAAAACGTCTAGAAATGGCAGGCTGCCACGAAAAGTGCCACATCTGATCTGTGATCTCACTGGCTGACAATTCCTTAAGAGGAGGTGAGCCCCGGTGTGGTAGGTCAGAAGAGGTACCAACCTTGTGCCCTGCAGCCTCTCAGGAGAACACAGCTCTAGAGACAAAAAACTGGGGGGGGGGGCGCCAGAATGGGGGAACCCTTGTGGAGTACCAAAATTAGCTGCCTTCTGCTCCCTGCTGGTGGGTCCCTGGGGTGTAGAGTGGCAGGGAGGGGGTTGGGACTGAACGGAGAAGTTGAGATGCTGATAAAAAACACCCTACTTGAGGGTCCACGGCCCTGGGTCTGAAGAGTAGAAAACCAATAGGTGTCAGTCGATCAGAGTGCTTTCTCAATCATCCCCCTGAGCCCCATCTCAGTTCTGGAGGGGGATCAACGCCGCCTGGACTGGGGGTACGGGCTGGTGACCCAGTCCTGGCCCTCGGCTCCCGGGGGGAGGGGGGAGGGGTGGGCATGGTGGGCTCTCCCCACCCCTCCCCCGGCTTCACCTCCCTTCCTCCCGGCCAGCCCGGCCCCCGCCGCCCCCGCCGCCGCCGCCGCCGCCGCCGCCGCCGCCCGGCCCATTGCAGGGCAGCACCCAGTTGTTATCGTGCAGACCCAGGCGGCAGCCGGGCGTCTCGCGGTCGGCCCGGCGGCAGCACATCCAGTAGGAACGTCCGTAAGGCAGGTCGTGGTGGTAGGGCTTGGGGTGCCAGCGGCAGAGCGACACGTCCCCCTTCTCGTACCTCTTGCGGCACTGCTTGCAAGGGTCATCGCGGTACAGCGGGTCGCGGCTCCAGCGCGAGTCCGTGGCCCGCACGCCGAACGCCTCGATGATGCCCTTGAAGTGGTGGCAGGTGCACTTGAGGGCCGCCAGGGCCCGCGTGGGCAGGAAGCTGAAGATCTTCACCAGCACGTGCTCGGGCAGCAGCAGCATGTACTGTCGCGGCTCCAGCAGCCGCTGGATCTTGAAGCGGATCTCCAGGAAGTCGTGGGACACGTGCCGGTAGAGGCGGCACAGGGACGTGTCCGCGGCGCCCTCGGCATCGTCCGGGCCTGGCGCGGCGGCCGGGGAGTCGGCCGGGGCTGGCTCGGGGGGCCCGTCTGGGCCGCGGGGCTGGAGGAAGAAGAGCTGGCCCGGTGGGGGCGGCTCCTCGGGGCTGACCGTCAGGCACACCGTCTCCTCTTTCACGTTCTTGGTGCCGTCCTTGCCGAAGAAGACGCACTCGTCCACCACCCCCGTCACCACCACATCCACGTGGAAGCCCGATGCTCCGCAGTCCCGGGCGGGGGGCGGAGGGGGGGCCGGGGGGGTGTCCTCAGGCCTGGCAGGGACCTGCGTCTCCCCCTCGCTGGCCTCATCCGCCCGAGCCAGAAGGAACTCCACGTTGCTGGGGAGGGCGTCCCGGGAGGGGCTGATGAGCTGGTACAGGTCGCAGGTGATCTTGTCCTTGGCCCGGGCCCCGGGGCCTGGGCTGCCCGGGTAGGCACAACCCAGCCGGCCCCCGCCCCCGTTGGGCAAGCTGCCGTCGGGGGCGCGGGGCTCTCGGCCATTGGAGATACGGAAGGCGATGCGTACCTCCCCGGGGCCTGGCCCTGGCCGCTCCTCTTTGCGGAGGCCTTTGGCTGGAGGGCTGTCCCGCTGGGCCTCGAAGTGGGCCACCGCCTCGGCTACCCGGCTGCAGTCGCCGCCACCGGACCGCCGTTCGGACCCCAGCCCCTTGGCAGGCCCGCCCTGCTCGGCTGACACGAAGACCACAGGCGCTGGGGTGCCGGGGCGTGGGTAGTTCTGCAGGGCCAGGGCGGCCCGCTGTTCCACCAGCGCCACCATCTCAGCCACAGAGAGCAGGTCTACGTCCTCACCAGCTGAGGATGGGGCCCCCTCAGAGGCAGGGGGCGCCTCTGGGCCTCCTGGGTCCGGGGGAGCCTTTGTAGGCTCAAGACAGCGCCTCCTCCGCTTGGCCTTGGAGCTGTCACTGCCCCAGTGCCCCTTGACCTTCATGGAGCTGGCCCGGCTGCCCCCACCACACTGGTGGGCCACAAAGAAGGCCACCTTCTCCTTTGTATTCCCGGGCTTGATGACGTACCACGTGTCCAACAGGACTCGCCCCTCATCACCAGCAGCTGCTGCTGAGAGGAGCGGGGCCGGCTGGGAGGCAGGGGCCTCCGTGGCCAAGGTGGGCGGGGTGTTCTCGGAGTGGGCAGGCCCGTGGTCTGGCTCAGCCCCGCTGCCGGGCTCTGGGCAGGCCGCCGGCTTGAGGGCTGCAGTAGGCGGGCGAGGCTGGTTCTGTGAGTAGGTGCCGAAGGGCCGGGGGCACCACAGCTGGAAGGGCAGGAGGCTGCCTCGGTCCATCCTGGGGAATGGTAGCAGACAGGCAGGGCTTCACCGCATTTCAGGACCTGGATGGTCAGGGGAGGTTCCAAGGGCCACCTGGAGACAGGGAAGAGGAGGTTGGGGAGCTGGGGGGGCGGATAGCCTGCCCTTCTCTGACCACCCCAACCTCAACTCCTGAGGGGACAGACCAAATTAGATCTCTATTCCTGCCCCACTGCACAGGTGAGCAAATGGAGGGTTGCAGAGGGAATGAGAGCTGGTCTTTAAACACCCAGAATGGGGGCGTCTGGGTGGCGCAGTCAGCTGATGGTCTGACTCTTGGTTTCCCCTCAGGTCATGATCTCAGGGTCGTGAGATTGAGCCCCAGCACGGAGTCCGCCTGAGGTTCTCTCCCTCTCCCTCTGCTTCTCCCCTGCTGGCTTGAGCCTAGGCTCACTCGCTCTCTCTTTCTAAATAAATAAAATCTTTAAATAAATAAATAAAACACCCAGAATGTAACTAAAGCTGGCAGCTTGTTCCAACCCCGCAGGTCATATTCCATGGCCCAACTGCTTTCACTCACAATCCAGAGGCCTCCTGCTGCCATAACCCTGAACTTAAGTGAAAGTACCCACTGACAGCTCCTCCTTCTTCCATTTGCTCACCCAGTAGCCAGTTCCTGAAAAGACAAGAAATTCCCAGCCCTGCCCACAGCTACAGTACTTGAGCCCATGGAGGAAGGAATGAGGCAGGCTGGGCAGGGGAAGAAAATTTGAGGTCAGAGCCAGCCAGGCCCTTAAGAAATAAGCTCTTTGGGGCGCCTGGGTGGCTCAGTCGGTTGAGCGTCTGACTCTTGGTTTTGGCTCAGGTCGTGATCTCAGGGTCGTGGGATCGAGCCCCGCGTTGGGCTCCACACTCAGCATGGAGTCTGCTTGTCCCTCTCCCTCTGCTCCTCTCCCCCACTCATGTGCTCTCTAAAATAAATAAATAAATAAAAATCTTAAAAAAAAAAAATCAGCTCTTCACTTTGTTCGAGTCCCCAGGATCCCTGAGAATCTCTCAAAGCTGTGTATCCTCACCCAGAAAAATGCACCCACTTGCACAAGACGGTGTAGGTAATGAATGCCCTTAAGCTCAGGCACAGACCTCTGGGATAAGGCCTGTTCTTGTCTAGTTTCCTCTTCAAGTTGCCCACAGGTAGACCGAGTGGGGAAGGGTTACTTATCATAAAACCAGGCCCTCAAACTTGGCTTCAGGACTTTTTAATTCAGGGCTCTCTTAACAATGACCATTTTAGGGGCACCTGGGTGGCTCAGTCATTGGGCATCTGCCTTCGGCTCAGGTCGTGGTCCCGGGATCCTGGGATCGAGCCCCGCATTGGGTTCCCTGCTCGGCGGGAGGCCTGCTTCTCCCTCTCCCACTCCCCCTGCTTGTGTTCCCTCTCTCTCTCTGTCAAATAAATAAATAAAATCTTAAAAAAAAAAAAAAAAGACCATTTTATTTTGCAACGACTTTGTGCATGACCTAATCTGGAAGCCATTCTGCTAATGAGTCTGACATGACCACTCTCCACTGTAGGCCCAACAGGTAGCATATTCTTCCGTCTCGATCATTCCCTGGGCCCATCTCCCTCCAGTCATCTTGAAACCAAAATACTCTCCAAACCTCAAATCTTCCACATGCCCATAGACCAGGGGTAAGCAAACCATGGCCCACGGCTTGTTTTTGCCAATAAAGCTTTATTAAAACATGCTCATCTATGTATGGCTGCTTTCACGCTACAATGGCAGAGTAGTTGCAACAAAGGACATATGGCCTTGCAAAGCCTAAAATACTCATTTTCTGGCCCTTTATAGTAAAAGTCTGCTGACCCCTGCAGTATAGACTGACCCCACCTATAGATGGCTAAGTTTACCATCCACCAATACATCTAAATGCCCAGGCACAGACACGAACACAGCAAAAGCCATTTTCTATAGATACTATCTCTCTACAACTTGGCTACCCCCTGAAATCCTCCAATCAGTTCCTACCCTTATCTCCAGAAGATAAATGCCCTCCTCCAAATATCCAGACCCTTTCAAATCCTAATTTAAACTTCCAAACCTATAAATATCCCCTCCAGCACAGAAGGACCCAATCTCAAGGAACGCCTCCCAAATCCCATGTCCACCAAGAACTCCAACATACACAGCAATCGCCCAAACTCACACATGCCCCAAAAGACCAGTTTCCTGAAATCCTATACTCCCCTTCAAACACTTTCTAAATCTCCACATGTATTTCCTAATTCCTAACAGAAGCCCCCCTAACTGCAAAAAAAAAAAAAAAAAAAAAAAAAAGGGCTATTTTTGTGAGGACAAAAACATAAAAGCTCCCTAACACATAAGACTAATCCCAAACCATATATTTCTCAAAGCCCAAAAAACTCCCAAACACTCCCAAAGAATCCTCACCAATGACACGTGCTTACTGCAGGGCTCACTGGAGTTTATTAGGTACTGTTCTAACCATTCCCGCTAATCCTTCCCAGTCCCTTTGAAGCAGGTAGTCTATTAGTCCCAGCGTCCAGATGAGGCACAGAAAGGTTTAACCCCACATCGCGGGTCAGACAGGTAGGAAGGACTCGAGAAAGGCGAAAGCCCAGGCATTCTGGCTCCAGACTTGGCACCCCTGGATTCTTTACTTTGCTTTTAAGTCTCCCCATGAGCTTCCCAAATCACATACCCACCAAACACCCCCAACCGCAAAGGAGACCCCTACAATACAACGGAAACTTCAACATTACATAAAAGAACCCAAACCCAAGCTCCAAGGCTCCCCCTAAGCTCAAGGGAACCCCAAGTATCCCCCACACCCACGCAAACACTTCAGGCCCCAAAATACCGCTTAACTGCAAAGGGAGCCCCCCAATTTTGTAACCGCCCCCCCAACCCGCCAACCCACTCAGACGACCCTCGAAACCTAGACACGCCCCTAAAGTACCCTCACCGGTGAGCCCCGCCCCCCCAGCGGCGGGAGAGGGTCGCAGCACACACGCATGCGCACAAGAGAAGAGGGCCCGCCCCCTCGCTCTTTCCCTCCAGACTTCGCGCGGACAGCCGCGCGACTAGTTTCTCTCCGCCCCTTTGTTGACAGACCCGCGCGTGACGCCCCCAGCCAATGAGCGGCTGCCGTTCGGGGCCGTGCCCATATAAGGAATGCCTTGGCGAAGGGGCCTAACTTCGAAAGAGGGAGGAGTAGGCGAGAGGTGAAGGGGGTGTGGAAACAGTGGAGTGTAAGAGAGCGAGGAACAATTCCCAACTCCTTGCTAAAACGGAGGAACAAGACCAGGAGAGAGGCCAAGGTATTCAAGGAGAGGTTTATTACACGACGTTCCCTCTAGACAGGAGCCCTGATTGACAGTTGAGATTTAAAGGACCAAGCAGCTCCGGGATTGAGACTCGAGGGCGGAAGGAAACCGGCAGAAAGATAAGCGCCCAGGTTTGGCTGGAAACCCTGAAGACCGAGATTCCCTGCGGGAGAAACTGGGCAGCAGAATCACTTCATCCTTGAAGAACAAATGGCCGAACCCTGCGACGACTCCCTGGGCACTGAGTTCAGCCTCGGGGCTTGGCATCAAGGATCAGGCTGTGTGGCCAAACGCACCTTTCCGTTCAACCTGTCCAACCAAGCGCCCCAAATCTGACTCAGACTTAGTACAAGAAAAGAATATCAAATACCCCGATAATGCTTTTTAAATATTAATTACCTGTTAAAATGATAATACTTAGGATATAATTTAGTTAAATAAAGTACTTAAAATTAACTTCATCTCTTGATTTAAGATTGGCTACTATAAAATTTTAAACTATACATACGGCTCGCATTATATTTCTATTGAACAGCGCTGGTCTAGATCCTTTCAATGCCAGGCCCATTCAAGAGACACCCAAAGGGGGCTCCACTGTAGGCGGTCACCTGTCCCCCCACCACCCTGCCCCAGCCTTGCCTGCTTCCAACCATCCTGCAAGTCACGGCCAGAAGGGTCTTCTTATAGCACAAACCTGACCCCGTCCCTACCCTGTTCAAAAACTACCATGACTCCCCAGTGCCCCTGGGAAAAAGCCCAGGTACCCAGCAGGACAGGTTGCCCACACAGAACTGGTGTGAGTTGGAGCAGGGATGTGAATCCAGGAATCTGATTCAAGACTGCTGTGCTCTATTATTGCTTTGCTATATTCTCTGGTGTCCTAGCTCAGCCATTCCCTCCAAGAAGCTGAAACCCCTAGGCTGGGTCAGACTCCACCTCTGGGCTCTCACCCACATTGGCCTCCTGGCTTTTTATTCCTCTAGAGTCACCAAGCTCTTCCCTTCTGTGGTCTTTGCATTTGCTGTTCCCACTAACTGGAATGCTTTCCCCCCAGATCTCCACATGGCTCAGTGCCTTATTTCATTTGCGTCTTTGCTCAAATGTAACTTTAACAGAAAGGGCTTGGCCAAGCTTCCTTCTTGGAAACCTGCCACCTGACCAGAGGAGGACCTCTGTCTGGGTTCCCAAGTCCCAGCCCTGCCCACTCCAGTTATCACTGTTCTAGGGATGGATCTGGTCTCCTCTATGGGACAGTGGACCCAGTAGGGCCAGAACAATCAGGGTCATCATGGTGCCCCCAGCCACACTGCCCAGCATGGGACTGAATGGATGAATCAAAGCTCCCTCCCCTGGAACAACAAGTCCTAAACTTTATGAGGCCTGGGTGTGAAACTCTGTTTCACACCCAGGTTCTGTCTGGGTCCTAGGTCACCGGGGCAGAATTTTCTAACTTCCCCCACACTGAGCCCTCCACGAGGCCCTCCATTAGGTCAGCTTTCAGAGAATGCTCCATGAAGATCCGTTTATTGTAAAACATCATGACCCAGAAAGACTGAAAATTTTTTTTAAAAATGGAAAAAGACCAGACAAATATGAACCAAAAGATAAATAGAAGAGAGACAATATCATTTAAAAAAACAATAAGGGGGGGTGCTTGGCTGGCTCAGTCGGTAGAGGATGCAACTCTTGACCTCGGGGTTGTCGGTTCAAGCCCCACGTTGGGTATGAAGATAACTCAAAATAAATTTTTTTTTTTAAGATTTTATTTATTTGTCAGGGGGAGAGAGAGAGAGAACAAGCACAAGTAGGGGGAGTGGCAGGCTTCCTGCTGGCAAGGAGCCCAATGTGGGGCTCGATCCCAGGATGCTGGGATCATGACCTGAGCCGAAGGCAGACGCTTAACCGACTGAGCCACCCAGGCGTCCCTTAAAAAATATTTTATTTATTCATTTGTCAGAGAGGGAGTGCGCACAAGCAGGGGGAGAGGCAGAGGGAGAAGCAGGCTACCTGCTGAGCAAGGAGCCTGACGTGGGACTCGATCCCAGGACCCTGGATCATGACTGGAGCCAAAGGCAGACTCTTAACTGACTGAGCCACCCAGGTATCCCTCAAAATAAAATCTTAAAAAAAAAAAGTAACAGCTGACAAAAGCAAAAGGTATTAGTAGGCACAAAGATGGTAACGAAATAAACTGACCCATTATATACAAAAGTTCTCAACATACGTGCTAACACAATGGCCTCAAAATGTATAAAGGAAAAAACAAGAGAATGGCAAGCACTTTGGCAAATCCACAACCGTGATGGGAAACTGCAATGTATCTCTCCGTAAGAGGTGGGCTGAACAGATAAAATTAGTAAGGAACTGAACCCCATGATCGACAATCGGTGGGATGCCCCCAACCATTCGAGAATCCAGTTTACACCCCTTATCTGACAGTCTGAGGTCCTCCTGCTTGCTGGCTCGGAGCTGGTCGCCTGGCACACAGAGATGACACTGAGCTCACCAGGAGGAGCTCGTGAGAAACGGGGCAGACATCCAAATAAACCATCATGACCCGCATGAATATATTAAGAGAGAAACTGATCACAAAGGCAGTTCACACCCGAGCATCATGGTTGGGAGCCAGGCTTTGCTCGAGGCATTTTACAAATATTAACTCACTGAATTGTCACATCATCTCGCTAATCTTAACCTCATTTCAAGGACGTGGAGGCATGGAATGGCGAAGCGATTGCCCTCAGACCCAGCTTTGTGGCAGGAGTTCCTGAAGTGGCTGGCAGCTTTAGTCACTGAGCGGCACTTTTGTGCAGATCATCTTACTCGGTCCTCAAACAGGAGCAGTCCCCCTCACCAAGAGCCACAGACAATGGCCTTTCTCTTCCCGATTTATTTTTTTCCTTAGCACATATCCCTATCTAATGTACTAGAAACTTTGTTGATAAAGTTTCTTGTCAGTTTCCCCTCCCAGGACCAGTATTTTTGCCTATTTCACTTCGCTGCAGGATCCCCAGCTTTTAGAACAGCACCAGGCACTTGGCTCCTGTAACTGAGCTGCCTGGAACAGGAGACCCCGGCAGTGTGTTAGGAATGAAGTCTCTTGTGCGGAACGGACACTTCCACAGCTCTCAAGGGGATTTGTATGCACATTTGAGAAGGAATGCCCTAACCCATCAGAGGTGTGCAACGCATGTTTATTTGAACAGACTCCTAAGACCGCCACGCCGTCCGTCTTTACATGTGCTACTGGGGACCTCTTGGGAAAAGCCGGCTGGTTCCAGCCAAGTCCATGTGTGGAAATCCTGCTCCCAGGACGGAGGCAGATTGGCACCCCTTCCAGGAGCTAGTCCAGCATCCTCCCAAGCTATTTGGGATCTCTTCCTCCTGAGGCCTCCTCTGGCTGCCCCTGTCACCTGTCATTGCCGAATGACAATGACCTGGGTGAGGGCCTCTCTCCCCTCCATGCTGTGGGTTTCTGGAAGGCTGGGACCTCTCCTCAAAGGCACAGCTGCTCCAGCCTCCGCACTTGGCTCACTGGCCTAGTTTAGCTCTTCCGGCTCCATCCTTTCCACGGTAGCTGGGGAGATTGCTCCAAACATAAATCAGACCATATCAACTCCCCTGCTTAAAACCTTTCTGTTGAGAGGCGCAAGTTTGCAAAAACAAAAATACATGTCCGGGAACCCTTCTCAGGAAGCTACCGGAGGATTTGCTTCACCAAAATAAAGCGGTGAACAAAGAGAAAGGGAGCTATCAGATCAAAGACAAAAGTCTAGCCCAGAAGAGAGGCAAAAGGGCATCCCCAGATGAAGGTAAAGGGAGAGCCTGGGAGCACAGCTTGCAGTAGGTCTAGGGAGAACTTGTTTCCACAAATGCACAAAGAAAAGAGAGAACAAGCTAAGCATGCACCCTAAGAAGTTGGAACCAAGGGGCGCCTGGGTGGCTCAGTCGGTTGAGCTTCTGACTCTTGATTTTGGCTCGGGATCTCAGGGTGGTGAGATCGAGCCTGCTTGGGATTCTCTCTCTCCCTCTGTCCCTCCCCCCGCTGCCGAACGTACTCTCTCTCAAATAAATCTTAAAAAAAAAAAAAAAAAAAGTTGGAAGTTGGAAACAATGTCAGCTATAGCAGAATAAAGCAAAGAAAGAAGATAGGAAATAAAAAGTGGATGCCTGGCTCCCCTCACTCTGACTCAGGTGAGGCCCGCCCCCAACGCTGGGGCACCTCCATCCCACAGTCAGGGTCATGCCAGCACAGGGCTGGGCACGGAGCAGGTGCTCAGGGAATGCACTGGTCCATGGTCATGGTCACAGGAATCGGTGGCAGGATACCAGGGCTCTGTTCCTGGCCCTGCTCCTTCTATCCCCCACCCACTTGACCCCCCCCCCATCCCCACTCAGTCCACAATCTTGATTCATCTCTCCCTTGGCTTTTTGGCCTCAGGGTCAGCCGCCCTCTCTCTCCCTCTCAAACCTTCCTTTCCAACAGCTCTTGCTGACAGCAGGAATCATCCAAATCCTCAGGATCTAGAGATCCAGGATGCAGACAGAATCCAGGCAGGGCCTGCAGACACCCCAGCTGTCCCACTTTTGGGGGTGTGTCTGTAGGTTAGGGTGCTTAACCCTTGGTGCCTCAGTTTCCTCCACTGTAAAATGCAGATAATAACAGTACCCCCACCCACAGGCTGCCTGATGATTCACGGAGATCAACCCAGCAGAGTGCTCAGTGTCAGCTAGGTACTAAGGAGAGGCTCAATATTCCGGCTCTGGGCTTATCAAGGGAAGGAGAGACTCGGTACCTAGGAGTTTGGAAATCACTGAGTAAATCAAAGACTTCGTCCCTCTTTACTTCATATTCTTTTTTTTTTTTGAGAGAGAGAGAGAATGAGAGACAGAGAGCATGAGAGGGAGGAGGGTCAGAGGGAGAAGCAGACTCCCCGCCGAGCAGGGAGCCCGATGTGGGACTCGATCCCGGGACTCCAGGATCATGACCTGAGCCGAAGGCAGTCGCCCAACCAACTGAGCCACCCAGGCGCCCTACTTCATATTCTGAAAGGAAACTGACCCTGGTTCCTCCAGGTAGTCAAAATATGGTCATTCCTTTGTTACTGTTGCGTATTGGGTCTCAACTATTAAACGGATATTTACAGAGCAGCTACTGTATGCCAGGAACCTGTTCTGGGCACGGGGGGTGAGGCGGGGAGGAGACAGAAATCCTCGCCTTCGCAGGGCTGACATACTAACTGGAGACAGGGACAGTAAAAATAGAGTAAGTTCTAAGGTGGCAAGTGCTATGGGGAAACAAATATAGCAAGTTAAGAGGACTGGGAGTGGAAGTGGGGGTTCTGATCTTAATCGAGGGGTCAGGATGGCATCATGGAGCAGGTGACGAGCCAAGCCTTTCAGAAAACTTGTAGTTTTAGGAATCATACGGCGTTGCCAGAGCTGCTAGAAATACCCCATTAGAAATGGTAAAAATATCATGTTGTATGAGTAAGCTTCGGACAAGCACAGGCTGAAAACACATTGAAGATTTTAAGAAGAGGCAAAATGACTTGGAAGCGGACACATTTTCTAAGACAGACAAATAAAGGAGAGGGGGGGGAAAAGTGTCACATGACCTCGGGGGCCCAGATGTGACATTCAGGCACAGGGATGAGTGAGAGGCTGGCCAACTTTCCCCCAAACCAAGAGGTTTTCAGAGGATTCGTGGAGAGCTGAAGACAAAGTGTTAAAGACCCCTGAAGTTAATGACACAATGACAAGCAGGCAAAGCTAGCATAAGGAGCTGCAAATGAATCAGGGAGAGAAAAACCCAAACCCGAAAAATGAGCCCGAGTGCCACCAACGTTGGGATAACAACGAACTCCCCAAGGGCAGGGTGTCAGTCTGCACACAATAGGTGCTCTATCAACACTGTGGCCCCACTCAGGGAATGAACCCCCATTTTCCAGAAGAGGAAACTGAGGTCCAGAGGGGTTGAGTGACTTGCCTAGAGTCACACGGCTAGTGTGTGATGGAGCCAGGATTCAAATCTGGGTGTTCTGGTTCCAAAGCGCATGAGCCAGGGTTTTTTCTTAAAAGAATAAAAACCATAAAGAGACCCCAGACTTACTGAGAGCTTCATATGAACTACACATTTTATACAAGTTACCTCATCAACTCTTTACAAAAGCCCCATGGCTGGAATGTGGCCCCATTTTGCCCGAGAAAACTCAAGGGCCAGAGTGGGAACGCAGTGTGGCCAAGGACACACAGCAGCAGAGGTAGAGAGCTGAACCTGGGCCTATCTGAGGCCAGTGCTTTTAACCACAAGCTTTCCTATCAGGGACAAAGAATTTATGTGATAAACTCAGGAAGCCTCACAACAAATGAACCAAACTGTTTCAAGATGAATTACACAGTTACCAAACTGCCCAGTGAGGCTGGAATAACCAAAAGGTTGGAGAGAGAAAACACAGTTGTCAGAAATAGTCCCTATTCACTAAAATACCTGGAGTTGGGCCAGGCTGGGCATTGGCAAGTGAATTATTTATATCTGGCTAGGAATCAGGATGGGAATGGGGACAGATTGAGTTTCTGAGCACCCCTTCGGGGGTCGCCCTTGGACTTGGAAGCCCAGGGGTGTAGAGGGTGGGAAACAAGAAGAGACAGATACGGGGGCAGCCTGCGGGAGAAGGAAAAGGAGGCAGCCTGGCTGATGTCTCCCTCACTGGTCCCTGTCTTCTGTGTTCTTTCTCAAGTCTGTTTCCCACTCTCTGTTCAAAAAATGACAACTCATGTGTATTGAGCACTTACTCCAAGAACTTTACGTGCTTACCTCCCTGAACCCTCTAACCTTCTTAAAGTTACTGATCCCAATTTATAGTTAAGGAGAGACCCAAAGACTTGCCCAAGGTCACACGACAAATGAATGGCAGGGCTAAAATTCGAATTGAGGACTGCTTCTGTTCTGGAGTCTCTGCCCTAACTCATAACACTGTATTTCAGTACAAGGAGAGGGGGCGAAATCACAGTGGTGAAAGCAGATTCTGAGCCAGTATGCCTAGTTTGGAATCCTGAGTCTACCGCTTAATGCTGGATGACCTTGGGAAAGTTGCTTAAGTTCTCTGTGCCTCTGCTTCCTTTGGGGAGAATGGAGATAACCCCACCTATAGACCTTAGGGGTGCTGTCAGAATTAAATTAGTTAATATGCACGAGGAGTTAAGAAAAGGGCCAGGCACTTCCTAAACTCTAAGTGTTAGCTGTAATCCACTGTGGAGAGCCCCTGCCTGCTTCTTAGCTGTGGTGTGCCCTGATCAGTGCCAGGTTTTGAGAAAAACGCCTCTAGGGTTGGACTGATAAGAAGGGAACCCATTAGCACCTGTGACCAGTCACATTCCTCGGGTGGGGAACTTCCCACCAACAGCTCCCAGACCGAGGAATTATTGCAAGGGAGGGTAACAATCTTAAGGAGTCTCCCCTCTTCTCAGTGGCAAGTTGTTCCCACAACACAGATAAGGGCACCGAGTTTCAGAGAGGGGAGACTTACCCAGGTCTCAAAGGAGTGACAGATTAAGAGATCAGAATGCTGGACTGCCAAAGCACAGAAGGCACTACACTTTTCGAGATCCCTCTGGAGAAATGAGAGTGCAAAAGGTTCTAAGGCTCCTTCTGGCCATCTTATCTACAGTTCTGTGACTGTCCAGTTTCTCGGGAGTCTCTGGCTGGTCTAGGCAAACTATCGTTGCATCCAGGCGCCTAAAGCCATGCTCCCCACCCCACCCCCACAGTACGGCAGCCTCACCAACACACCACTCTACCATTGATTTCTCTCTCCCACCACCTCAGCTTGCCCTCCTGCCCCCAATCTGATCTAGAGGCCCTAACCCACCGCATCCACGGCTGGTCTCTCCTTCGGAGTCTACAGTCCCCCTCATTCATCTAGCTCTGACCCCCATGCCTTTCCGCATCCCCCAGGCTACCCGCCTCGAAACTGCTCCCTTCAGGGCCTCTGCCGGGACGCCCAGCCCCTTCTCCAACTCGGGACTCCCTTCCCCAGCTCTGAGCTCCCTTACAATCAATCCCAAAGCTCGACTCCTTCCCCACCTCCAAGACCCCTCCCCAGCCCCCATTCTTCTACTACTCCCTCGGGCTCCCATTCCTCCCGCACCCCTCCCCAAAGCGATCTCTCGTCGTCCAGCCCCTTCTTTAGCCCCAGCTTCTTCCTTCTTGCCACCTGGCCCCGAACCCCCGCCCCAGCTTTCAAGAGCCCCCGGCCCCGACTCGGGGTTCTCACCATCTCCCCGCGCCGCAGCTCTCTCGGCTACGCGGGTTTCCCCCACTCGCTCCTCTCCAACCTCCCCTTCCGGGTTCCCGCCCCGAAGCCCGCTGGGAATTGGAGTCCGAGCGGCCACGGACTACACCTCCCAGAAGGCAGCGTGACCACGCTTGGAGGTGGGGAAAGGAAGCAAACTGGGCGGGCTGAGGACAAGAACGACTCTAACTCCCAGGAGGCAGAGAGGGCGCTTTGTAGCGCAGGCGCAGAGAGCGCCCCCGCCAGGAGGACTGGGAGATGGAGTCCAGTCTCCTCCATTTTGGCCCGGGGCCCCTGGAAAGAGATTGAGCAAATTTCAAAGAGACGTTTGTGAGGGGTGAAGAGTTGGGAAGGAGCAAGTTTATCGATTTCCTTATGCTTATTAACATAATAATTAACAGTGCCTTGTACTTTCTCAAACATTTTTCCATCTCTTCCCCCCCATTTTCTTACCATCACCTCCTCTAATTTACAAATGAGAAAATTAAGCCTTAGGAGGGAGGAAAGCCCCATGAACTAGGAACTATCCAATATCCTAGAAGCTTCACGAGGACAGGCACCTTTGTGTATCTCATTCAAGCACCCAGAACAGTGTAAATAAGTGTTGTGCAATATTTACTACATACCAACCATATGCCAGACACCCTGCAGACAACCCAAGTATTACCCCAAATTTGGAGAAGTTAAGGCAAAAAGAGATGAAACCTCTTCTCCATGGCAACTCAGCAAGAAAGTGATTTGAACTGAAGTGTGTTGGACATCAGGG